CCCCAAAACCCCAAAACCCCTCAGAGTAGTTAATAAAAATATCAGTTAGAATAATCAAAATCCATATAATGCATTAAATCATTCCGAGCTAAATTAGATCCTTACTCATTAATAGTTATTAGTATTCAAAGCCTGATGCAATCTATTCTAAGCATCCTCTGTGATTCTATTCTAGAAAGTATTGTTGAATATGGGTCCAAGTACTCCATCGTTGGCTGTTTACTTTAGGAAAGTAGAGAACTTTTGCCAGGTCTCCTCATCTACATACTTCTTCTGCAGCACCTCGCTCATTATTAGTACTATGATTTCATATCTTTCGTTATTAGATCCTAGCATTAGAGCTGGGTGATTTTCAAGTAATAAACTAGCAAGGATTTCATTCTAAATCTTAGATTCATCTAAATCGTTTTTAAGTGGTAATAGGGAAAGCCAATTGGGGATCATTTATTCTAAGTCAATAAATTAAGGCTAATGTCTAATAATCTTTCCCAGAGCTGAAATAGCGTTGTCCTTTGCCATTTAGAATTATTTCACCTTAGTGTTCTTCTCTTAAACGATACTAGTCATTTGGTATTCAATTGCCATCTTAAGACTTTAAAGGGCTTCATTTGCAATCTATTAAAATAGATCTCCACTTGTTTGAGCAAGTATACCTACTCCATATGAGGCTGCCTATCTAAGTGAGGCATGCTAAGAATTATTGAAAGATATTATCTTTCTTGCAGCTTAGAGGTAAAAATCGCCCAATATCTATGGTCCCAAATGTTCAATCATATCATCAAGCAGGTAAAGAGCTAACTGATTCTTTTACTTGATATTGGATGAGAGAGCGCTTGGAATCAGATTAGATCCTAGCTAAGTTATTATGTTACCGCACATTTGTGGATGAGTCTTGAATACAACTCCTAATAGTTCTTCTAGTGTAATTTATAGTTCTGATTCAATTTTATTCTCTTCCTTCAAAAGCTCATAATCTTACTCTGGATCATCATCATCATCTGCCTCATTTTTCAAAGTTTCATTGTTTTCCCTGATTCTTTCATCAGATCCATTTATCAATTCAACTACTAGAGATCCAAGGGAGTTTAGTATAACTTGATCAATAAAGGGCATACCTAATGTGTCTATAATTTCCTTGACAGCAGTTACCTACTGAATTAAGGTTTCAGGGTTCAGTTCCTTTTATAATGTTCTCCAGATATTTTCTAAATATTATCTAGCAACATCAACCAATAAACCTTAATCATCAGGCTTAGCCTCTTTAATACAAATAATGAGTCCTGGTAAGCACTAAACTGATTCCTCTCTAATCTATGAGTTTGCTTTGTAGCCGATTAAATTGAGGATAAGCTTAGAAGCTGGCTCAACCCAATCAAAAAAGGCAGGTCCAAGTTCATCAATGAATACTCCAAGCATTTTAATTGCTTCTTACTTCTCATCCATTTCATCAGTATTGATATCGTTTTGCTTATCTTTATTATTATCGTCCTTTAACTCATTTAATACTGATTGCAAATCCTCTGCTTTTTATTGTCCCTAGATAGTAATTTCTGGATTGAATGCAGCCATTGAGAATAAAGATGGCAAGATCATTGACAGATAAGGAATGAAGTCTTCTTTCATTGAAGTACAAAGCCTCTACCATGCAGTAATTAGGTAAGTTTTCTATGAATCTGTATTTTTGAAATAGTTATTCTGCATTTCTAGTAGAGCATTGATAACTATTTCATAGTGAGGTTGGAATTTTTCAATGCTAACAGAGCAGCAAATAATGGTTATTGCTTCAATCAGTTGCCCTTTGAACTACTTGTAGTAAGGTTCATTGAATTGACCAATAAACTAGCTCAGACTACTCATACAAAAGTCATAGTATTGATCGAAATTGGATTTAGTCGCCTCGGCTAATGATGAAAGTGCTGTCACAGCATTTTCCTTAATTATTGAAATTCCATTCTGAATTAAATTCAATAATTTCTCCATAATCACTTATATATACTAAGAGGCTACCTCCTCAGTGGTTCCTTCTAGGAAATTGTTCAAGCAGGCACAAGTATGAGATTGAACTCTTGGTACTTGATCATCAAGCATTTGAATTAATGCAGGTAAAACTGTGGGATGGAAATTTTCTTGGAACTCCTCAGTCATATCATCAGAAATTTATCCAATACAATGCAATGCTGCGAATCTGATTTTTGGGCATGGGTGTTGAAGATGTTCAAGCACAGTTGGAATCATTGGTGCAATCATAGAAATGTCATTCACATATTCCCCTACTTATGAAAGAGCCATTAAGCCCGCATTTTTATATCTCCAGTCATAATCATTAGCTATAGTATTTTGAACTAACTGACTAAGCAAAGGTAGCATTATCTCTTCTCCTATGCTAGATACTAATCTGTCAACACATGTTTTACCAAACGCAACAGAATCCTCATCTTCTTCATCATCCTCAACTTTAAAACCTTCTTTAGGCTTAAGCCAACTGTTATCAATGAGTTCATCAATATCGATCATTAGTTTAAATATCAAATCTAGTAATTATCTCAACGTATCTTAATCCTTCTTAAGAATTATTGGAAGTCTCTCAGTCAATGTTACGAAAAACTCAATGGGTTGATGCCTGATAATAGGGTTAGTATAGTCATTCTTTGAGACTATTGGACTGAACAAATCAAAAAGATCCTTAAAATTTTGTCTGAAAAATTTAGGCTCTATTTCAGCAAGCTCATTGAACTCTACTAAAGCATCTTAGAGCACTGTTTCCTCATCAATCTAGAGAGCTTTGATAGCAACATTAGACATCTGAGGTAGCAATTAGATAAAGTGCAGAGAATCTTTCCTCTCAGCTATTTGCAAGAAATTGGAAACAGCTTGAAGTGCTGCTAAATTGATGTCAAGGGAGCTGTGATCGAGGGTTTTACTAAATATCCCCAAAAGATCATTCTTATACTTGACTAAGTGTTCCATTATATATGAGAACAATCCATTGAAAATCTGAAGAGCAGAATCTACTTTGATGTCGATCTCAGATTGCACAAAGCTAAAGATTAGATTTAGCAGATCTTGCCATATCTATTGCTCTATTTCATGCATACTACCTCCAATCTCAATCAGTAAATTGCATATTTTGCTTGATAGTACTTTTTTATTACACTCAGATATAGCTTTCAATAGCTCGTTTTTAACATACTCTCTGGCATTTGAATCCAACCTATTCCACAGGTTTGCATTGTTTATTTAATTATTAACATCTTAGGAATCTGTTGCTGTGCTAGAAATATTCCTTCTGAGAATAACAGCAGCCAAGCACTGGACTTCAATGTTGACTTCACCTATTAAAAGTAAGATAATTTTGAATATTTGATACTATTTGTGATTATTGAAGTAAGATAGCAAGCATATTTATTGGGATCAAAGGATTTCAATTAGTTTAGTTTTTCCTCTCCCTATTTCCTTTGGATATTGTTGTTGTTCAAGATATCATTGAGGGCAGAAGCCAGGAACATTATCTCCTCTTAGTTCATATTTATAAATTGCGGAATTTATATTATTTAAGTCCTAATTAGTATCAGCTAATAATAAGCAAATTCCAGCAAGTCGGGGTTTTGGGGTTTTGGGGTTTTGGGG